ACACACACACACACACACACACACACACACACACACACACACACACACACACATTTTTTTATACCGTTGTTGGCCAAATAGGTTGCAAAAATCTAAATATTTCTTAGGGTCTGAATAAAAAAGTGATATTAAAATTCTTGGAAGAAGAGAGAGTTATTATAGGAAACGTGCATAATTTTTGTGAAAGACACATAATTAACCAAAGCTGTTGCTTTATTKTCGTGCAGCAGTAAGAGAAAGCTGTAGACTTAACAACACATTTTGTGGCAGAAATACAGTTYAAAGGAGACATTTTATTTAAATGCWGTTTAGTTTTATCTAATCGGCTCAGCAGTAGCAACTAATTAATTAATGTTTTTTTTCTCTTCCTACACACTATAAAATAATAAAACAACAACATAATTCTTTAGTACGTTAGTGTATGACAGTACATCTTATTCTTTTTAATATTATCCACAGCTATGAAAGATGTWATCTCAAAATCAATATTTGATCATTGAAAGTGTTTCCATGTGTTTGTGTGCATGTGTGTATCACTTCCTGCTACTGTACAATGGTGTGTCCTACCCCCATTTTTTTGTATGATTTGGTGCAGTTGGCTTTCATCAAATCTCATCTGGGAGCGTTTGACTCACGTACAAGCGAAATTTTAAGGCAAAACTTCTCCTGCTGCAATTAGCCTGTTTTTCCCCCTTTCTGAAACAAATGGCACGAAAACAAAGCCACCGCCTTTGTCTAGCAGACGCTTTTCTCCTGCTGCTGAATTCCTGATATCGTATGTTGATACTGTATGTAGGACTGAACTTTCCTGCAGAGAGTTCAGATAATTAGCCCAGACGGACACACTCCCACAGCTCTGGTTTTCTCACTGTGGATTTTAGTTACCCTACTGACCTCTGGATCAGGAAATACGCACTAGATTGGATACATGCTTTTATTTATACAGGCAGAAGTTCAATTTTCCTCCRTCTCATGTTTACTCTCTTTTCCAGTTCTTTTGACAGTTATACAGCTCACAGACTGAGGAGATTTACTCAAAAGGACTGAGGTAATGTGTGGTAACGTGACAGCTCTGGATGTGTTCACAGAATTTTGGTTCCAGTTTTGAAACRAAATGATTTCAAATGATTTGGAGATAAATGTGGAGGAAAAAAATCTAAAGATTGTGTTTACTTGTATGCRTATCTGGCAGGTGGAGCTGAGCTCTGGCGTGCCGTGGTCAGCAGCGGTCACAGTAATGGCGTACTCGGCCCGTTCCGCCCATCTTAATGGGGAAGCAGTTTTTAGCTCACCGCTGGTGGGGTTCAGGGAGAAACGCTCTGCTCTGGAACCTGACAAATAAATCAGGTTTGTTTTATAGCTACATTCAAGAAATTCTATGAAATTAGGATTAATGTATTTCTAAGTCTTACCTGACAAAGAGTAGTAGATAGTACCRTTCTCTCCCTCATCTGGGTCTTTAGCCAGCAGGGTCCCCACCAACGTCCCAGAAGGAAGCCCCTCTGTCACCTG